TTACCCATCCAACTTACAGAGGCATATGGCATCCACCAATTAGCACGCAAGCTGGCAGCCCCGACAGGTTTTCCTTAGAGTTCACCGGAGTCCATCGAATGAATATGTAAGACAAGGTTCATTGTGCAAATGGATGTTTGGCAGATTTGATGTTCGTATGGCGATTGTGAATAGTTCAGTAGCCTCGGTGGGATACAAACCCACGCGTGGACGCCGCCTATGGTTGTACGCGCTCTTGGTGTGGCTTCGTAGCTCAGCTGGTAGAACGTACGCGTACAAAACGTAGGCGGCGTCTGTGCGTGGGTTTGAATCCTACCGAGGCTACTGAATTTTTCACAATCGCCATACAAACATCAAATCCGACAAAAAATCCATTTGTACAATTCGTCAGAACATTCGGTCTTTCATGGCCAACACCACACACTACACAGTCATCCCCCCCCCACCTAATGACCCCAAACCAATGTTTATGTCTGATGAGCGAAATGTGAGGAACATCCGTTCGCGGAGATGGGATGTTGATTATTTCTCTTCTCGTTTCGTCATGTTTTCTCCCCCCTTCCTCCGACTGAACGTTTTGACATAAATTGTGATTGATTAGCCTGTGGATGAATCACCGCATATGAGCTGGTTCACACTACTGTGTGGTCTTCTTGTGTTGTACAAAGATGGTTTATTCGGATAATTGTTTTTCGGTTGAAAAAAGCTCAGGTTATTGGAAGAGTATCAAGCAAGATGAGAATAAGTGGAAATTCCGTTGAGATGATTAGATTGAATCTTACAATTTACAACTCACTATGAATGTAATCATACCACCTAAGTATAAATATATAAATATTATTTTTGATGAATGAACAGAAGTACCAATCATGTGAAACCATTTGATGCTGTTTCTAATGTTTGTCCAATTTACGTAGCATCGAGCGCTCTTCTAGACTGGACCTAGCTCATTATCGATTTTTGTCCAGTTTGCAACAATTCAAATTTGCCGGTCAATTAGACAGATATTTTTCGCATCAGCCATTGACATGTCTATGAGGTGACCAAACACTGATATCTGATTGGCTGATTACAGCTCAGTTTATATTGATGCCATAGGCGAGTAAACGGAGCAAGCAAATTTGACAAGGTTAGCGGTAGTTAACACTAAAATCGTGAAGCTCATGATTTTCATTTTATTCATTCCGTTTCTCGACCGTTGTTCCACCTGACCTTTGTCCTTACCACCTCCACGACTCTAGTGTTGATTGGGACCAGCCTTGTCACATCCGTTTGCTCGACTCTGGCATTGTTATAAACTGAGTTGTAATCAGCCAATCAGATATCAGTACTATCATCACTCTATATACACGATACCCACTAATGCGATACATGGAAAACAAATTTCTTCATGATCACGTTTTTGTACATTGTCAATGGGAATGTTTTACAACGTCTGTTTCTCTGTTCTCCGTACAGATTCGAAACGCATACATGAGTTTACGCGACACCATATGTCCCACACGGCTCACCAATCCGGATCCGAAGAACTATATCTATTTTGAGGATTTTGAAACAAATCAACTCATCTCTCGCACATCACAAATACCAGCATTCTGTGGATCGTACAGTCAAAGCAGACCCTACTATTTCAAATTACCGACTACTATAGACTTGGTCCGCTACCCTCACGTAAGTGTACGATATAGCTGCATCGGAGTTGACGTTTTTGTTGCTGTTGTTGTTGTTTTGGTGGTGGTGGTAACATTTTCTTCAAGATTTCTCTAACCAGTCAGCACATTTATCCCAAACAAACCAGCACTGAATGAGTAGCCTATTTGCGTTGATTCATTCGCTGCTACCTGCAGCCTCGCAAAGAGGTTTAACGAAATTTTGAAAGAGTGATTTCATCCAGGTAGAGGTCACAGCCACGAGACTTTGAGTGTAGTTGAATACGACACCCGTATTGTGATTCTGAAATAGTTTTGTGCTTCTGGCTTGTCATCGTGGATTTGAATTAGGCGGATTACATGCATCGAAACAGTCTGTTTTGTGATCGAGAGTGATGAGCAATTTGGCTTGTTTACACGATGAATTTCGACATGGAAAGAGCAAATGAAACGTTAACTGCAAAGCTAGGAAACACACAGTGAACAGCGGTTTCGTCTTGGTTGGGTTTCATCACCTGTGAGCAAATCCATCGACCCAGGTGGGGATCGAACCTGGGACCTCAGCACAGACAGAACTCAATCATAACCCCCCATCCTGTAACCAGGTAGCTAATCAAATCGTTTTCCAAGTTCCTCCTACACGATATAACACAACCCATCTTTTCGAGTTTGATGCGATCATCCGCACTTGAGCATCGCAACACTAGCTTCCAGGGTTATGACTTTGTTGGAAGCATTCGAACCGGAATTAGATGGATTATGCTTTTCAGTTCACGCTTCATTTGCTCCTTACACAACGAAATTCACCATATACCTTGTGACTGACGGTGCTCAAGTCCGTTTGCACGGACTGGTCAGAGTAGTGGACTTCATTCACGAGCAGCGGTGGCCAAGTGGTTAGGTCACCAAATTGTGACCCAGAAGTCCTCGGCTCAAACCGTTCCACCGACGCCCGTTTTCCCTATTTATGTATTTCCCCAGGTAGCCTTTGTATGGCCACACAACACTTCCTGAGTGTTGGTTGTACATTTGTATATTCAACAAATAGAAAAAAGGAAGTAAAAAGACATTTTATATAGATTAAGTGTTATGAATGCCTATTGCGATGTGTCTTATATTTCAACGGCTAGTCAGAGCGGGAGAAGCCTTGTGAAGGATAATGAATCGTACTGAAGCTAAGTGAAAGAAACAAAATCCACGAGATGATTACATCATTCAAGGTGTGATGGAAATGAAGCATCCGTAGACTTCAGACTATGTGCTTTTACGTCACACAACGTATATTAAATTAGGGGCTACTGATTTCTGATTACCAACTGTGCATTCAATCCACCTATTTCTTTCTAACTGTTGAATCGTACTTCGGACGCCTTAAGTCGATCCGATCAAATGTAGCACGTATCGCTCAGGAGTAAACAGCATCAGTTAGGCCATCGTTTGTATTTGTGTACTTGTGAAGTACCATTTTGCATGTTGAAATCAACCGGCGTCCGGCATAACGTTGGTACTTTGGTTCTCTATGCCATTAAAACTCTCACACTCACCCTTGAAATCATCAATGCATTTGCTCATTTTGGATTCCACCTCTTCTAACGTGTCCACTATCAACACCGGAACCATTAGCTGACTTTCAGTGTCACTATCCATTTCCTAGAAAAAAAGAAACGGGGATAACTAATCTACTCATGATTATTCATCCAATGACGGGCAACTGTGGGTTGTACAACAAGACGATTTCAAAACCAAGTCTAGTACTCACTTGTCCTGTGGCTGCGTATGTTCACCCTAATCTGAATCTTACGAATGGAAACGTTTCTTATGCAGTCAATATGTGGATCACTTCTCTTTTCGAAATTTTCTCATGGTTTACGTCATGAGAAGCCTGACATTCCACTGAGAAATCTGGCAATTTGCATTTGAAATGGATTGGGAACTGCCGCCACCGTGAGAACGTGTCGGCGTTAGCTCGAGAGTCCTGGAAATGAAATTGCGCTGTTTGCTCCATTGACGCACTCCTAACCCCGATGACCAGACTGCGACCACAACAACCATTTCAATCCCCCATTGACCTGGCACAAACCATTCAAGACTTGCATTGTTTGTTCAAACTGAGATCGTTTGGATAGGCATCCAGGGTCCAGGTTCGGTGATCGTAACCGTAACAAATGCCACTGAATAGCACTCTGTGACTATGGTATCCAATACGTGACTCCTGAATTTTTTTCGACAAAAAGTTTCTCGTGGTTCAAATAACTGGGTGTCCGGTCAAGCATATCGAATGTTCATCGGGAATCGCGGAGACAGTCTAGCGTTTCAACTAGCGTTGGGGCTACCCCTTGTTTACGAGCAACTGAATTAACTCGCTCAGATGATGCACGCATCTCGCGGGTGACAGGGCACATTGTGAAGCCTGATAAGAACATGACGGTTCCGTTCCGTGGATTTTATCGTTGACAACTGGACAACTGTGGCAAATTTAAAAATTTCACCCACGCAAAGTTTGAATTTGCCCTCAAGCGAATGAGCAATAGAAAAGTGTTTGGCACGCATTTTTTGATTTATTCAGTGAAGCCTTTAGTTAGATGGTGCACATTACAAGAAGTGGTATTATTTAGGCTCTTGTTTTATGCATTACCCCTTGGATAAAACCATCGAACAATAAGGATTCGTAAACACTAGTCGGCAGTCAGCAGACATGATCCAACAATCGTTGATTTCTCTCCACGAAGACCAAGAAGGATATCAGTTTGACTTCGAATCAGTGAGAATTATCGACCAAGCCTAGTCAAAACACGCCAGAGAATTTCTCAAGGTTTGACACTCCTCAAACAATTCAATAAACAGGCATATCGAACTAGATCACGTGTACACGCCAGTGCAACTCAAGGATCAAATGACGCAACCGAAAAAAGATCACACCTTGACCTGTGAACGGACCGAAGCCGCCATCAGGGCGGACGGACACCCACCCCCTCCCCTCTCACGCTCACTCGCTGGCAGCAGTTTAACGGCGAACCGAGTCGAACACAGTGAGAACAAGGGACGAAAATGGTCGGTGGAGAAGGCCACATATATAAACGAACGGGTCAAGCACAATACTGCCACCTCACAAGCACTGATGATGTCCCCTCGGTTGGTGATGAAACGTTTGCAAACAAATTGCCAAGCTCGGCCAACAGTCAAAATAGAATAAAACAATCCATCACGTAGAATTGTTTAGCTTTATAGGAGTGCAACATTTGCGGGGCTTGGCTATGCACACACACGTCCCCTTCAGTAGAGAAGATAAAGAAAAGCAAGAACTTCTCACAATTTCGGGCTCGGAGTTGCATTAGTAGAATGATTCCATCGGGATCGAGATCTTGGTATAAATAGAAGCAGTGATCTAGAAACTGAAAAGTGTACAACCGAAACAGATCTGTACCTTTTGCAAATCAAGTTGTCCGAATATCATTTCAAGATATCCGGGTATCATTTCAAGTAGTCTGATCATCATTTTAAGATGTCTCGTTGACATCATCGGTGCTGATAAGCCTTTCAGCGATGTCTAGATGATCATCATGCATCATAGATTCCCGTACGTCACTTTGAAACGCGGGGGGACGATTGTGAGGCGTGCCTCGGTCACACACGTCTCAGTTTCCATGTCATTCATATCGGTCGTTTATCTTGCAAGTACGCATTCGTGTCTGTTTCTGTGTTTTTGTCCCCCACCGCTGATACCAATAAATCATGCGCGATCAACGCTTGAGCCATTGCTTACCTCCGTAGCATGATGCTGCAATAGAATTTATGAGCTACACCTCAAGTGGTTGCACTGGGACAATCAATACATGCCCGATCGATATAGACATCAGTGTTGAGCAGATTCACATAGAGCGTGTTCGTCACTTTCAGGTTATATTCCATCACTGTGACACCACCACAGAAGTACTGAACGCTCAAAATGACCATTTTTGTCATATAATCGGAACGGAATGAGGTATTTCTATCAAAAAAACTGTACTAGAAATAATGTAATGAGGGCTATCGAAATGTCATGAATTTCATAATAGATACGGAATTTTATAGGAAAATACAAGTTCAAAAAATTGGAATGTTTCTAAAAATGCACCATTCTGAGTATGGACTCTAAATTTGATCATCTTTATCGCTGAAATCATACAGTCTCACTTAAACACTTTCACCAATCTCCAGCTGTGTTTTGCTGTCTGGGGCAAATTGATGGACTATGTGTTTTTCACCTACAATGGACGTGGACTGAACGCGCAGGTGGACGGTGCCACACAATACTATCCAACTAACATGAGCTATGCCCCAGCGAATACGTAAGTTTTTCCAGTCGATCTCTTTCCATTGACAATTTTATACACTATCTGTTGAAATCAATGAGTTTCCCGGTCACAAATTTGAACAGAGAAGTCAGGAACACGGATTTGCACAATAAATATCTCCATAATCAGTTCACTGCATCTATACACACGTGCACATACTGCAGCCGAAGTGATTTTTATAGTCAGTTTGATAATGACTGTGAGACGAAGACATGATCGTCGATCAAAACGGATAACACGGCACAGCAACACGGTAATCGAAGCACGGACGATAGGGGGTCAATCACCAATCTAATGTGACTAACCATTTACCTTGTTCACATAGATCGTGGTTAGGAGTATGATTGGCTAGAGCCTCGCCGTATTTCAGCAACTTTGTGTTTGTTGTGTTGTAGATAAACTGCAATGCTCAGGTTGAAGTGACACGGTGTTTTTGTGTTTTGGCGATTTCGATGATCGGTTACAAACTTGTCATCTATCGCTTTCTTAAACCACATCGGGATGTGCTCAGCCATTTGGTGAAGTAAATGCCTCTCTACCCTATGTAGATGGCTGAGCATCTATACCCTTGAATTTGTAAATACAATTCGATTCGACGGAGGAAGGAGGCAACAGTTCCTTCACCGATGTCGTTGGTATCCGAGTGGTAGGGAAGACAATGACTGCGTCAACAATGTAATAGACACGATTGATGAAAAAGTTTAAACGCTTGCTGACTAGTTCACTCACGTCATCCCGTTTGTAAACCAACTGCAAATTTTTTTCATTTTGGGGACAATTTTTGGGTTTTCTACTTTTGGTGTTATTTTCCTATGCTTGGCCATGAATGCACCCGGATATCCATTTTTGCGTAGTATTTAAGGGGTCGCTTCCATTGTCTAAAGAGTCCTTTGTGCATATTTCACGAGCTTGATGAAATAGTGTACGAACGAGCCTAATTTTGTATCGCACGTGGATGGAGTTCGCGAAATGCACGTATTGCCCACGTGTTCTTTCGGAAGATAAATCGTTTAACTAATCCATCTGGTCGACGAGTAATATTTGTCTAAAAACTCGATACGGTCATCTCATTCGTCATGACTAGTTAGCTGGATGTTGGGTTGAATTGTGTTGAATCGGTGGAATAGGTTTTCTCCGTATTCGTTAATGTTGCTTAT